GTCAACATAATGCACAACATTTGACATATTTGTGTATTAATGTGTTCTGAATGCAGCACTCATGTTCACAGTATGAGTGTGTGTGCAAGGTGGCAGCATCTCTCTCACATGACAGCGCTTCACCCGAGGCATCAAACACACGGAGCGTGCAGAGCGGAACGGCTACAACCCGTGATCACTGCATCCCTCACACCTTCTCATCCACCTGCGCTGCTCTAACAACACCGTCACATGCCCGAACGGGCACATGAACCACGTTCTCACCTTTGCTGAACAAAACATGGTGGCGGCCATCAGCTCTGACCAACACTATCCCAGTCCAGGTCTCCCCGATCCGCGGCCCCAGTGCTCCCAACCGTCTTGGCAGGCCTCCTTTCCAAAACTGACAAAGTCTTGACAAGTGGAGTCCAAATCTCAGCTGCCCATATGGCACCGACTGTCCGTCCATCTACACTCTCCTGTGTGATCATGACACGGTATGCCCTCATATGACTCGTAATTAGTCACGTGTGTTGGCATGTAGTCGACGTTGGCCCAGGTCCACCGGAGCGGATCTGCTTTCAGAAGGCAGGGCGCGGCAGCAAGTGCTGATAACAGATTGTGAACTGAAAATGTTCTCACATGGGAGAGAGCAAGTGTGGATTTTAGGTTTTTGCACTCAAGCCGCTCCAAAAGAGGACAATAGAGAAAAGCAGCAAGTCTTCAAATTTAAGGAGCTGGGATTTAGGGGTGGGCAATTAGATGGATATATTGGCTATAGATGAATGGAATCCATTGCCGGTTGTATTCTTTGAGCACTAAGGATTATGGGCTGGCTTTTCCAGTGGCAGCGGCTGTTAGCGAAGCATTCTTAGCAAGATTCGCAAATACTTGTGCAAATGGCCAGTTTAAGAATATTTTACCTGCACTACATGTGTGCAACAACCACAATTGGTTTGTTTAGGTCCTTCAGCTTGAAACCTGAATTTAATGACTACTAGATTATCAAATTATAGCTAATTCAATTTCTTTTAATATCCATATATGCACCTGACATAACGGATGAGTTTGACAACACAATAACAAGACTGTCTTCTCGAGATGAACAACACTATCAGTCAATTCAGCAAATCCAGATGAAGAGGAGGAGGTTGAGGAGGATGGATGGATAGATCAATGAAACAAAGATATTGTTTTTTTTTCCAGCTTCCAACAAAGCAGATAATTCTTACTGCCTACCCGTTTGCTCATGGTGGGTCTCCTCAAAGCAACATCAGCGGCCTCTGTGAGACTGGTCCTCGAACTGCTGTGGCATCCTTTGGCTGAGGACAAAAACAATTACAATCACATATTATTGATTAAAGTGAGGGCTGGAGGCTTGCTTTTGTGAAATAACTTCTCATAACTGAGCAGATGGGAAGAGCTGGATCAACAGATTCAGAGGCAAATCAATTGCAACGATCAGATCTTGAAATGTGACATCCTAATGCTGGTTTGTCCAAGAACAGATTTATTTGTCCTCAAACCAATATATTGACTTTTCAATGCAGTTTAGGTTATCTTTGTGGCAATTGAATGGTATGATTTGTTGAATCTTCTTGTCACTACATTTGTCTTAATTCAGGTTTCCATTCCCTACATCCATTTATCCACATATTGAAGGCATGTCATTAAGGAACTACGCTCCGGGGTTTAACGTCTCTGTAGCAACATCCCTGGTTTCATGCTTTAGAGGCCCTTAATGGTTCTTCATCGTCTGTGATTCATGAGCTGTCTGTTCGCTGCATATCAACTCGTCCCATCTCCAGCTGAAGGTAAACACGTGAGCCCAGCAGAGTGTGACCCCCTAGGCCACATATTAAAGCCGCGGACGCTGGTCGAAGTAGGAAAACCAGGCCAACTTAAAGTAACAATCACGAGCATCAAGACATATTGACACAAATCAATAGGTCCCTGGCATATGTAATTGCGAAGAACAACAGTAAGTCAAATTCACACCAAAGCGAGGAGAAACAGACATTATATTACCCCGCGAAGGCTCAATAAGGCTAGATGATGAACATGGAGCAAACAGTCAGCCCTTTCAGACTTGCTTTTAGCCTAATCATAAAGAAAACAGATAATTCAACATCTGTGTAAATATGCAAATTCAGTTTTTCCCCCCAGAGACATAGATGAGAAGATTGATGTTTCTCTCGTGCATCTTTTAAAGGGGCCCTATTATGCTAATGTTCTGGTTCATATTTGTATTTTTTCTACTGTGACATGTCTACAAGCTTTAATGTTCAGGAAGCTCTTTATTTTTTATTTGGCCGGCTCTGTTGTGATTGGTCAACTGCTTAGTGTTGTCCGACCCCTTGGCAACAACAGTATCTCGTACAATGTGCTAGCCAATAGAGTGTTATCTAGTAGTAGTGTCAATATTTTAAGGTAGTAAACAAAGGAGTCCAATGGAGGTGTTTCAGGCAGGGGGGGGGAGTGTGTGGGAGAGAACACAGGGATGTTATCCTTTGCAGACCGTTCACATGCACACAAACCTATAACACACTACAGGGAAGGGACAAACCTCAAAAAAGCATAATAGAGGTTTAAACAGGAAGTAGTTATTGAAGGCAGTTTTAATAACAGCTGAGTAGGTGGATAAACCTTCGTAAAAAGGTATGAAGTTACAACACATGACTGGTAAGGGGTTTCAAATAATACAACCAGAATAATTTGTTTCCTATTCTTGTCAAGGCACACATCTGTATTAACATCGCATTGGCTCTCAATAGACTGTTTAATTCATTACCTATTTTTTTAGGCCGATCCGGAAGTAAGCGTGGAAAGGGCTCCCTCGACAAAAGATCCATGGAATTCTTCCATTGGATTTTGGTATATGGCAGAAAATAGCCTTTGTGGCAAACACATGTTTATAACACCTACTTTGTTTGTTCAGCAGGGTAGTCTCCACACATTAACACCACTTTATGACTTTGGAAGATTAATTGCAATCTCCAAATGTAGAAAGCTCATGTTAACGCTATAAACTAACTACATCACTGTCGCATGGCTGCACATCAACAGCGCTAAGCTAAAGGCAGACTTGTGTCGGTGTGATGAGGTTTTGTACTTTATTCAGTGACTTTTTAGCAAACGCCATTTTTATGACACATATGAGCTTTGGAAATTTGTTGGTACGTATTTTAAGAACAAAAAGTGAAAATCTCTTAAGCTTGTGTAACCAAATGTCTTATTTTAGGCATCACAGTGTTAAAATGCTAACTCATTTCCAGGGTTTAGGACTCAATTACTGCACCATTTTATTCCACAATCACTTTTTTTTAAAAAGGGCGATCACTTCTTAAAATGTAAAGACAGATATTTGAATCTTAATCTAAATGTAATTTGTAATATTTATTTAATTTTACGTAATTAATCATATATTTTCGATTATAAGGAGTAGAAATATGATTCAGATATCCGCGGAATCGCTGGAAGGATAGCTTTCCAGCGGTATCTCCTGTGAGACTGTAGCCAGGGCACAGCAGCCAATATGGCCGCTCAAAGCAGCTTGACTTTACACTGTGTGGGATTGGTGGATTCGTGTGTCCGTCAAGGAAATCTCGGCCGGCAGCCATCATGGTCTGAAATGACCAATGGACATCGAGAGATCACTAAGGACCTACCCACCAAGTAAAAAAAACACAAACCACGAGAGAGAGAGAGAGAGAGAGAGAGAGAGAGAGAGAGAGAGAGAGAGAGAGAGAGAGAGAGGAGAGAGAGGAGAGAGAGAGAGAGAGAGAGAGAGAGCAGAGAGAGAGAGAGAGACAGAGAAATGGCTAAAAAAAAAAACGTTACAGTTGCCGACTTCGCTAGAGATTTTTTTCGCTAGCAGCAGTGAAGATAGAGCCTCAGAACCTGAAGTCTTCGACTCTTCTGAAGAAGAAGAACACAAAGACAACAACAAGGATCCATTTGGACATGGGTAAGTGTAAATATTACAGTAATAGTGTACTGGCAATGTGTGGGGAATACCGCGAAAATGAACATTAGGTTTATTGATATATATTTTGTATCGATAGTCATGAACTTTTTCTTGGGACAACATAGACTCCATTAGCAAACGTTTACTCTGTGTTAACGTTATTTTGGTGTGTAAAAGTGAGATTACATGTGTAGATGATTAAATTAATCATTTATTCGTCCCACAACGGAGACATTTACAGTGACATGTTTTTGCCATCGATTATTTTATCATACTGTTCTGTACAGATGAGACTTTGTCATATATTTATTTATGTGTGCCTGTTATTATTTTACCGTCCTGTACAGATGAGACTTTGTAATCAGATGTAGCCTATGTGTGTCTGTGATTTTATACTGACTGTAAAGTAACTGGAAATACCTGTGTGTGTGTGTGTGTGTGTGTGTGTGTGTGTGTGTGGAGAGAGAGAGAGAGAGAGAGAGAGAGAGAGAGAGAGAGAGAGAGAGAGAGAGAGAGAGAGAGAGAGAGAGAGAGAGAGAGAGAGAGATCGAGAGAGACTCCTTCTCCAACCTCCCAAACTTTATTTGTATGTGTGCATTGTTATTTGTGCTTGAGCAACATTTTACTTGAACCTTATTTCAATGAAATTAGTTGTAATTATTGTCCTACATTTTTATTTGTTTTACAGAGATGTTTCACAGCTGTCTGGGCCTAGTGGCCCACAGGCGGCGGAGTTTATCCAGCAGCCAGAACATCCATCTGTGCCGGCCCCCAGGTCAAGATCTACCGTGGCTCAAGGGCCTTCACCAGAGCCATCACCACCAAGGACCAGCAGACCAGCATCACTACAGCTGCCTCCACCTCCATCTGCGGCTGCCACCAGGTCAAGATACACCTCAGCACAAAGGCTCCACCACAGCCATCACCTTCAACCCAGCCAGCAAGGAGGTATCGTGGAGGTCTCGTATAGCACTTGTACACCCCACCTACACAGCAGCCCATGCACCATCACCCCCACCTACACAGCAGCCAGACCCACTGTCTTGGAAGACAG